GTCTATTCATGATGAAATGTCAAAGCATACTGAGCATCTTTCTCTTTGACACCATGTCTGAAATCCCACGTGATCTGTCAAATACTAATGCATGAAAATCCTAACCTCAAAAAAATCACCCGTTATATAGAATAGATATAGATAGATGCGGTTGTTAAATATTTGACTACTTCCGTCGAGACTAGGTTGATGTCTAGACTAGTTTTTGCCTATTCTATGTCTGGACGAACAAAATTCCGAAATGATAAAAACGTGGTAACAATAAGGACAGTTGCGTACTGAATTGGGAATTCAAAAATTTCAGAAAGCAAGTGAAAATTTAGTACTGTCACTCCTAAATCAGAACGTCTGGCAACCGTAGTCCTCATACATACATATGTACTTCGTATAATATCGTTATGTGTCAAATAAATACGTATTTTATTTTATATGTCCGTTGTGTTGTTATTGCGCCTTTAACATCGCCATTTCCCGCATTGGTGGCAGAAATTACTGGCATACAGTCTTACTGGAACTTTAGGAACTGTACTCGTACGTGCCTGAACTACAGTTTCGTCTACCTCACACCACCTATGTACACACATACACATACACATGTGCATATAACGGGTGATTTTTTTGAGGTTAGGATTTTCATGCATTAGTATTTGACAGATCACGTGGGATTTCAGACATGGTGTCAAAGAGAAAGATGCTCAGTATGCTTTGACATTTCATCATGAATAGACTTACTAACGAGCAACGCTTGCAAATCATTGAATTTTATTACCAAAATCAGTGTTCGGTTCGCTTTACGTCCGATTTATGGTCTACATAATCGACCAAGTGAGCAAACAATTAATGCGATTGTGACCAAGTTTCGCACTCAGTTTACTTTATTGGACATTAAACCAACCACACGAATGCGTACAGTGCGTACAGAAGAGAATATTGCGTCTGTTTCTGAGAGTGTTGCTGAAGACCGTGAAATGTCGATTCGTCGCCGTTCGCAGCAATTGGGTTTGCGAAACACATTTCGAACCGAACACTGATTTTGGTAATAAAATTCAATGATTTGCAAGCGTTGCTCGTTAGTAAGTCTATTCATGATGAAATGTCAAAGCATACTGAGCATCTTTCTCTTTGACACCATGTCTGAAATCCCACGTGATCTGTCAAATACTAATGCATGAAAATCCTAACCTCAAAAAAATCACCCGTTACATACATTTACTATATGTACATAATATGGCATTGTACGCATAAATATTATGTTGAGAAACAGAAAACGAAAACAGAAGACAAAGACGAGACCATTCTAATACAAACGCGTTAAGTTACTCGCTCCAAAAATTGCGGCGGAGAGTAAACAAAAAGTGGTGGAAAATTAAGGGCGAAAGTAGATTATGCGGCTAAATGTAGACTCCAGTTGCGGTACATTTTGGAAAATTGACTAAGAAATTTGGAAATTGCTTACCAAAAAAAGGCCTTAAAAATTTTTGTTCGAACAAGTAGCCCAATTTATTTCCATTTACCAGGAGACACACAAACAAAGGGACACATATTACTTGCTTCAAATGTCGTTCTTCGTTACATAATTTATTTTTCAGCTGGAGAATAAACGGTATCCGTTCGGTCACGGCACCAGCCACTAGACTAAGGGCCGTTTTTGCAATTTCTGGGACACGGAGTTGGTAGTGTTAACCAGAGATGGCGAAAATATCCCTAAGTAGGAGAAACGTCGGCGCTACCAAGGCCGTTAAGTAAGAAAATTTTGATAACATCCAGGTAAGGGTGTCCCAGGTAAGGGTGACCTGAGCTGCTAACGGTTCTGAGATGTTGAGGACAAACCCACTGAGTTGATCAAAACTGGTAACGTTGTGCTATAGCGAAACACGCTGTGGGGCTAGAACGAAGCTTCGTACGTGGGAGTTGCCGGTTCTGAAGAGCTACTTCGAGCCTACGATGTCGACTGGCATGAAGCCAAGAACCAAAATAAGAGTGCTCCTAGGGCAACAACAAGACAAATTCTCTCTTACTAGGATTTAAGGCGAGTCCAATGTTTTAAGACGACTTACTCACCAGGTTCAAGTACCACCATCCGAATTCGTACAGCTTTTACAGAAATCAATCAGCTTTTCTCCATGCCTTAGCTAATATGTACATTACTTATTTACATACGTTCTCGTATTCTTGGCTTGGCTTTGAGATACCACTGAAAATGGAGCACATACATAAAAATGTGAATGAGGAAGTTTTTATTCAATAAATTTTTCTTTGCTCTTTTTCAGATTTGTAGGGTACACACAGTAACTGAACTGCCGCTACTAGAAATGTTAAAGTTCCAAAAATCCCGGGATTCTTGGCAAATAATCTCGGGATTATCGGGATTCATAATTTGAGCTGATGGCAATAATAGAAACTCATTTTCTTGACCAGTATTGACTATATTTCTTTTTTTTTAATAATTAATGTATTTTATAAATGTCTAGTTCATTACACATATAACACCGTGCGTTCGTAAATATTATACACAAAAATCAATATATTCGCAAAACCATTGGCCAAGTATAGTAAAATTGCATTAACAGTATTTCACTTTGACGGCAGTAATTCAAAAATGATTTAAAAAATTCAGTTAAATGTGGTTAGAAAAAAAGTATGGGTATCACATTAAAGAGGAAATTCTGAAGAATTTACATAGATTAAATTTTTTGGTGAGTGTTGAAAATGTCCTTCAAAAATTTTATCCTTGAAATTTCGCGATATTTGTTTTTGAAACAAATTATATGTAAAGGACTTATATAAACTCTATAATATCCTCGAATTTTGTTCTTCTAACTTTATCAGCTTAAAAAATACCTATTCGTCCTTGTGCATCCAAAAAAAAAAATTATTATTTTGAATTCTAAAAAAAATTGCTCTTTAATTTGGTACCCATAGCTTTATTCTACATTGCATTGTATTTTATAAATAATTCTTGGAATTATCTAATCATATCTTTGAAATTACAAAGTCCTTAAAAATAAGTCCTGACGTCAGAGAGAAAAAATAAAAACATCTCTCTAAATAAAAAAGTAGGTTTCAATACCATTTATTTATTATTTATTTTTTTTTATCGTAGGAGAGCTTCTCAAACAATAAAGACGCAGTTTTTCCGCTTTAAGTTGTTGAAAAGAAATTAATATCGGGATCCCAGGAATGTGATAACGACCTCCCAAAAATCCCGGGATCATAAAAAGCCAAAAAATTAACATCACTAGCCACTACAGAAGCATAAAAAAAATAACAATTTTAAATGGAAGAATGGATGGCAAAGAGAGTGCTCCAGAAGTCTAACGCTTCAATGTTCGCTCGCATACAGTAAACCAGAGTTCGTTTGTTATTTTCATCGCCTGAATGAAGTGTTTGCGTATGTGTTAGGAAGTGTTGGGTTTTGGCGTGCCTTTTGTGTAAGCTATATAAGCAGCAAGCGATGCCCTCAGAGCTCAGTAAAAATTATGCCTTTGTGCAGAATACTACTAAGCAAATAAAAGCGAAAGGAGTTAAAAACCAACATAAAGTGAAATTTTCAAAACGTTCTGTTTGAGAACTGAAGTAACTCAAACAAATCAAGTGCAAAGATTAAGATAGTTTTTAAGCAAGGAACAAAGCTGAATAGCGAAAAGCAGGGAACCACCAAGATGCCTAACCAATTCCCAATTAAGCCACCGGCACAGATGCCCTGCGCGCACTGGAACCACTTTCCCATTCATCCACAAAGGCAAGTTACATTCAGCAGCAGCAGCGGCAGATGCAATGGCTCAAACGGCCCATCATCGCCGCCACCATCACCCAGCTCTTACTCGTATTGCAGTGCCTGTGATGCCATGCAAAAACGGCATACATGAACTATAACCTATTTTCTAAGCCTGGGCGGAACACAACAAATACAGACATTAAAGTCAATAGTTATGTTGCGAAAGCAGTTCGTGGTTTGTAATTGGAAGAGTTGATTGCGGCAGACAAGAGCCAACAATCGCCCGAAATGAAGAGCGCATAAGTACGCAACCAAGAAGCAGTTGAAAAGCCCAACGATTTCAGAGAACAATCAATTTTCCTCAAAAGCAGCTGAATTGGAATTTATGAACCATTCCTAATTTATCTGAGGGTAATTTAGGATTACAAACTTTTACAACTACCTCAATGTGTACATCTGGCGCGTTACAGTTCAATCAAATGGGCAACACCCAAAATTCTTTGGAATCTATTTTATTATGTAGTGGTATTAAAGTGCTTTAATCGACACATACGAAAAAAATAGATGTATAATACCTACTATATATGCCGTCACATTGTCGATACTATATATTTATATGTAAATGTAATTACAACTGTAAGGTATTTATTCCCTTAAAGTGCGCTTAAAACATGGTAAAATTTAAGAGAATTTCCCAAATACTTACAAAATCAGACTTATTGCATTTATCAAACCAAAGCCATAGATTTATGTAATAAAGGTATTCTAATAATGCATTCAGTATTTACAAAAAGTTTGGATTTTTACCATTTTTTAATATATAGTATGTATGTTTGTATGTATGTATGTATATTGCACATATATACAGAACATTATATCTAAAAGTTATTGTGAGCAAATAAATTTAAAATATAAATATCAATTTTAATCAATGTTGTTTACTTGTTGTATTCGGTAAAAAGATTAGTGGGTGGGCATATGCAGACATAGTGCAGTAAATAAAACTGCAGTGGCTCGGCTGTCTGGGTCATTGGCATGGACACAAACGCTTCAATACTGAAAGCAGTGGTCGGCATTCCAACACATTCAAACGATTCAATAACTGAGACTGTGTGCGTTAAATGCACTACTCAGCTGCCGCTCTTCGTATACGTGTGAAACACACATCGTCGCCTGGGTAAAAGATTGTCGTAAGCGCCATTTTGACGATTTTTAGTTCTAAATGCAGTTATATATTTTGTAATAAGGTCTTTCGATTGGTGTTATCAGTTTTTAGATATCTCTTTTAGTTTCCGAGATATTGGCTACAATTTTTTCGATAATTTAGTAAAAATTTAGTTAGTGATGCAGTCATATTAAACTAATCAATATCTTAGCAATGGTGTTCTCCATTTTTGTATATCTCCTTTAGTTTCCGAGATATTAAGTAAAAAGTTCGTTAATTTAGTAGAAATTTTGATCACATTTTGTCGTATTTCATACAATGTGGCTGCCAATTTGTAGACAAATCGCGCTTACGACAAAATTTTACTAAAGAAAATCCCTCATAAACTCGAAACTAATTAACAATAAACATTAAAAATTAAATAGTTTAAGGTGACTTGAGGTGAGCTGAGAAGAAGTGCGGGGAGCAACACAACATGACATAACGTACATACCTTAATCTTCATTTGTATAGTTTTCTTTGTATGTTTATCTCTATCCCTTTCTCCATCTCTATCTTTGTCTATATCATTTTCTTTATCTTTGTCTTTTTTTCTTAGTCCTTACTTTACCCTCACCTTTATATTTATATTTAATTTTATTATTTTCATTATCTAGATATTCACCTTCACCTTTGTCCTTATATTGCGTATCTATTACTTTGTGGTGAGTTGCAGTGAGGTGTGTTGAGATGAGTTAAGGTGGGTTGAAGTGAGGTGAGTTGAAGTGAGGTGAGGTGAGCTGAGAAGCGTGCAGTGAGGTGGACAACATAACATGACATAGCATATCTTAATCTTCAGTTTCTTCTTTATTTTTGACTCTTTATCTCCATCCCTTTTTCTATCTATCTTTGACCCTACTCTTTTCTTTACTCTTTTTATTTTTCTTTTTCATTTTCTTTTTCTTTTTATTAGTCTTTTTCTTTGTATTAAACTTTAAATTAGTCTTTATTGTTTTCATCATCCTTATCCTCATCCTTACATTTATTTTTTTATATCTTTATCGTTATCTTAATCTCTATCTTTATTTCTTTTCTTCATCTACATACTCACCTTTAGGTTGACTATTTCGATTCGTTCAAATGCCGTTTATGCTGAACAAATGAATGTGCTTTTACCCATAACTTTTCGCTCTGTAACTTTTAAATGGGCATATAAACAAGTGGTGCACGAGGATCATAGTTCAATAGTATATTGCACAATGGAGCAAATACGTAATTGGCAAAATTTTCCAATTGCAGACGATGAGCTAATAAAAAATATGCATTTTCACTTTGGTGCACGCATCGTAACCTTTTAAAATTTTTTTTTTTTGAACTAGCTTCTACATGTTTACAAAAATTATAAAAGTTCAATAAATATTTATCGAAGTTTCAAACCTTTTATTCAGAATTTGGGTATGCATTTTTATAACTGGTCAAATTTAAAGTGCAAATTTCAAGCGGCTACCAAATACAGTTGATTTATGGCAAATTTTTCGTTAACGGTGCTAGGCATTTTCTTCCATATACATAAAATAATTTTCTGGCACACTTTGTATGGAAGGAAATGCGCCGCCTTATTTTAGGTATAAATTAGATATGATGCACTGGAGTTTGTGAATCACTTGAAGCAAATATGTTTGCTAAAAGTAAGAAAATTCAAATTTTTTATTGTAATTACTTATTCATCTTTGGAACGAGTAAAATAAAATTCAAATGAAACGAACTTTTCTATCGCTAGTCAGTGGCAACCATAAGCTTCGGCTAAACTAACTCATATATGAGAGTGGCAATGAGTGAGCTTTCAAGCTTTTTAACGAAGGAAAATCATTTACCGCCAAAAAGCATGAAATCAGTTAAATGGGGGTAGAGAACTGCATTTATTATAGCGGGTTCTGGTACATACACTAAGTATATCAATGTACATATGTACATATGTACATTGGGGTGGTCCAAAATAAAAATAAAGTCGGAATTTTAATGCTCTCACTCCCTTGGATTGTTCCGTATGTTATTTTAAAATCAAAAAATATTTATAGGTCGTTCAAGCCCCCAAAGTTTTCGCTGCATTTTATATGGGCAAAAAGCTACTTTTTGTAGAAATGGTATAGAATTCTTAAGAATCAATATTTTTCGATCGGAAAACTTTGCTTTTCTTTAGGTTACTGTCAGTATCAATACCCAATTGTTTATTTAGCCATTTTCTATTACTAACTATTTTTTATAGGACCCCAAAGAACCTCAAATGGGTCCTCCATTGCCGGTGGTATCACATCGCGCTTCTCCAGCTTACGTGCCTCCGTGCTCGTGAGAGCCTCTCTAACCTAACCTAACTTACATATCGTCGCCGCCGCGGTACCTGCTACCAACTCCATTTAGTAAAATTTTACAGTACAGCGAAGAAATGTCATTAAGTAGTAACCCAGCACCACCTTCAAAATTTTAAAATGCCGTTTTGTTATTGACCTGAATAAATTCATTTTTTCGCTAAAATTTTAAGTCATAAATAAAAAAAGAAGTTAACAGCATTTATTTCGTATAAAAATAAAGCAAAAATAAAGCAATTGGAATTAGCAGTTTTATAATAGATCAACGTCTAATATTTGGTATATTTTTAGGCACAAGTATTATTCATTTAAAGATTTCTAGAATCTCACCACTGGCAATATTAATAGGTAATTGGTAAAACGCGGGATCTGTCACCTAGAGGAATCCTGTGAATTTACACCTCTATGATAAGACCCTTTATCAGCTATGTAACAGCGGTATGGTGGAGCATACTCTCAATCAATAGCGTAGAAAATCCGCTTGCCACACTGCGAAGAACGTGTGTGTCACACTCAGTCCAATCGAAATCGTGTTGAATGTTTTGTACATCCTTTGCCCTAATACATATATTTATGGAGTTACCAGCGTTTCTTCGAAAAAAATAACTGTTGTTTGAGTTAGAAGATTTAGATATTTAGCGATTATAAATCCTAAAAGAAAGTTTGCATTTCACACCATGAAGAGATATTTTCCCCCTTTCCGTCAATAACCAAAAGTTATTTTTTGACCGAAAGGTGGAGTTAGCGGCTTTTACCGCTGGAAAACTTGCATAGAAACCTCAGTGCTAGGCATCTGTACAGGCGACGCTCCACCTTTTCTTCTTATTACGTGTCCGATAAGTTACAGCTACGAAAATAATTGTTACGCAACAGTTTCATTCTTGCGGCGTGAGTACACAGAGACCGGTCTCATATTAAAGCTACAGATAATCACGACAAATCCTCCCTGCCCCGTTTGATGATTACTAAAAAGTGTGGCGCAGTAAGACACACCTCACAAAGATTACCAACAACACAACAAAGGAGAAGCATGACGAACTGGTCATTCCTAATACCGTGGTGTCGAACCACGACTTTCATTTATAAATCCTATAAAAGAGTGTGTAATACATTCATACTAAGTATGTACATGTATACCCCCAAAGACTTATTATAAAATTTGAAATGGTCAGTATTGTTTTACATAATTATTTTTAGATTTTTGAACAAACAAATCGCATTTCTTTGGAAGTTCATTCGATGCATTTTGTTTGTATTAACGTACCGCACGTAAATTATATACCAAAATCAACTATAAAAGTATAATTTCCTTTCTTATCTAAAATAAATACATATGTACATGTTTGTTTGGGGAAGCCACCATGCTGTTATCATTAACATTTATGTATGTACAAGAGACGGTAGCAGTAACAGTGGCAGGTATTATATTCAAGCGGTAGTAGTGGAGTCCCTAGATACAATAGATAAAGTTGTTAAATACTTATTAAAATAACTATGCGTTTTTGCATTTGATCTTTAACAAATTGAATCACTTAACGCATTATTGATGTTGACGTCGCTAATATTGGCCGATAAATACAGACATTTGTTTACTAAAATAAATTCGCATTTGCTCGACAAAATTGCAAAATGGAGCTGGAAAAATACTTTTATAAATACTTTTATAAAAAAAAACAACACAGTCAAATTGACTCTGAGCTCTACAGACTTATGGGCTTATCAATATGTACCCACCATGCAAAACATGAAAAATTGCTAATGGCAGCATATTGGCGACTCGCCTATTTATTGTCGTGGTGAGAAATCGGTAACAACATTGAATGTTGATGAATT